GAAGTGATCATTCCCAAAGAAAAGATTAAGCCTTTGGGGAATTCTGGTAAACCACTGGTCTGCTTTGTCTTTGTTTATTCCAGGTTTCATGCCTGCAAGATAACCCAACACAATATCCCCCTTTGCTACTTCTCCTGAGCTCCCTACTGTGTGTTTGGCTTTTGGTTTTTATTTTTACATTGATTGGACTTTCCTCTGTATCTGTTACTGGTAATGAACTTTCACATGTAAAGATGAGGGTAGTCTTTCACATGTAAACATGAGGATAGTTTTGGGATCCCTCTGGTAATGGCAGTTGGTATGAAAAGTGTGTCTGTATGGTGTGTGTGTGTGTGTGTGTGTGTGTGTGTGTGTGAAGTGTCTATCTAACTTTGCAGTTGGCCTAAAACTCTAACAAAAGACCATATAATAGCAAGCTAGATAGGGAGGTAAGAGAAGGTCAAACAGTGCATGAAAAACAAACAAAATATATATTGGCAACTTCCAAATAATTTGGAAGAAAATTAATGGAGCTAAAATTAGTATTTTTAAGGGTAAGGGTATGACTGGAAAGTTTTCATCGCAGTATAAGTATGATTCTATTTCTGTATTTTTTTCTAACATTATCTTAAAAAACATATATTACATGATACATATTGCTGTGAACATTCTATTTTCTATCATTTCTAAATACTCTCCTGGCACAGAAGCTCTTCTGTGCATTGAAAAAAGAACTTAATTCACTGGTACGCAAAAAGAAGCAGGATGGCACTGGATGGGATTCAATATTTGGGAAAAAGGAAATAATAGGGTATATTTTCTATTTTCCTTGATAGCTGCTTTTTGCTTTGTTTTGTTGTAAGCTGAGCAAAGGCTGCTTTCTATGCAGGTCGCAGGAATAGACTAACTAGAATTCAGAAAGTAACTGATGGTTTATGGTTTAAAAAATTAGGGCACAAACCTTGTGACAACTGTAGTCACCGGAATTCCTGAGGACTAAGGCCAGGCTTGTACAAAGCAGAAAATCAGCAACACAGCTGTGACAGAAGGAACCAAACTTAGATGTGAGCTGCTGCCTACAGCAAGACAAAAAAAGTTTATAAATTCAATGCTTTTAATACAAATATAGCACAAACTATAGCTTCTACATCATTTATGCTCGTGAAAATAACAATACTTTACCTACAAAAAAACAGGAAAATATGATGCATTACCATAAAAGAAAACATCAACTGAGATAAACCCTGAGAGGGCTGGAGTTAGAAAGCAAGCATTTTAAAGCAACAGTTATAACTAGATTCTCAACAAAATAAGGGTTCAATAGATTATTTTTAAAAACAGTGAATAACAGACAAATTCATATAACAAAAATCAATGGGAAATATTAGACCAGGAAAAGTGAACCTATGAAATTTAGAAATTTTTAGATGAAATTAAAAGCAGATTTGAGTTACAATAAGGTTACTAATCTTAAAGAGTGATCAGCTGAAATTATGTAATATGAAAATATGGAAAATTATTAGGTATGGATGGGACATTTCAGAGACTATGGGGCATTGTCTAATAGTTTATAATATGGGCATGCTTAGAGGATCAGAGACAAACAGGGAGAGTGTGAGAGAAAAATAATAATAAAGAATTAGCATAAATAAAGATTGATTTTTTATTAAATTTGTTAAGAATATAAATTCATAGTTTCAAGAAACTCAGTAAAATAAAAATGAGCATAAAACTCCCACAAAAACTAACCTACACAAATCTAGAGCTGCCAAAATAAGCTAATGATAAAAAGTGAGGAATGCTGGAAGAAGCCAG